CCTTCTCACAAACAGGGCGCGCTTACCAGTTATTCTCCCCACTTTACTGGAGGCGTGGCTTCCTGCAAATCCTGCCACATGGGCACCCAGGCTGTAGCCAATAAGGTGAACCTTGTCAAGGGGGAAATTCACTTCCTCCTGCAAACATAAAGAAAGTAACAAGGATTATAACACAATGTGAAACATAGGAGACCAATCTGTTATAATTAAATGTCTCCGCTCGGTTTTTTCCTCAACTTGTCCCTCTGTCTTGAATTGTCAGTGTGTTATTGCAATGATGGCATGGCAGCTGTTAGAAATAGTTGGTCCCTATGCGCTACTAGCCGAAAATCGAGGAGAGAGGGAAAAAAAAATAAAGTTGACCAAAACGCTGGGTTTACTTAGGCAAGTCGCGTAGCCGGTAATCACGGTCGAGAGCAAGCGTGGGTCAAGTAGGTTTAGAGAAGGGAGCTTGGTGAGGTTGATCTCAATACTAAGCTGGGAGTGCAGGTGAGGACCCCTTAAGTAGTGGTTGTCCGGAGCTGTGGTGCAGGGCGAGGGATGTGGTTGGGTAATTAGGTTGTGTGTCAGCGTTTGTGGGAAGTAGCCTGGGCTTGTGTCTGATTAGTGAGATCCGTGACAGCAGTGCAAACGCCAAAAAAACAATTACTCAGCTAAACAGGAGTGGCAATCAGAAGCTGCTGTACAAACGCTTGGTCTGTCCATCAGGTTGCGACAAAACCCCTGATCTGACATGGCAGTAACGTCTTGCTTTCAGGCTCACCTCCAGCCAGTCGAGGAACCGGCCGATGTCTTGTCCCACCAGCTTGGTCTTCTTCGCTGCTATGGGGTAGTGGTTGTGTGCCATGCTCAGCCAATCCACCACTATCACGTTGGCATCGCGCTCTCTTTCATACAGGGCTGACACCAGCTTGGCTACCCAGCCCTCAAACATTCCGCTGACCTGCAGAGGGTTAAACCACAATGGTGTTGCAGCAAACCCCGTCTCAGCCCTTTTTCAACACACACTGTGTCCTCACCGCCGACAAATGAACAAATAGTACTTGACATGCACAGTACTGCTGCAGTTTAGGTCAATACTTTTTTGTCCCGGATAGGAAATGTGCTTTTCAGGTAGGAAAAGACGTGATACATTTAACACCGCATGAGCACATTAACAAATAAGGAACATTTCAAATACAGATGAGAAAGAAAATATATGTAGTAAAATAAACAGTCAATGATCCAAACTGAGTAGGTTAATAGCAGAGACCATTGCTACTGCGCTGGTTGGCACTGTTCTCAGCTGTGATGCTGGCTCTAGACTGCTTTTTCAATAGCATTCAAAATTGCGTCACCAAAATATTGCAAGAGCCACGCAGCAAACTCGGTCAGTAATTTGTTGGGAAAAGGGGTATCGGTCAGGAATTAATTTTCAGTAGGAAAACAAAACTAAAACCAGAAGCCAGTTAGCCTCCCAGCATGTCTTTGGACTGTGGGGGGAAACTGGAGCACCTGACTTGAACTCATGAACACAGGGAACACATACAAACTCCACAGAGACAGCACCCTGGTAATTGAACCCAGCGACCCCAGCGACCCCAGCGACCCCAGCGATGCGAGGCAGCAACGCTGACCACTGCACTGCCTCTGCAAAACCCCCCGTGAACACAGGGAAAACATGCAAACTCCACCCCAAAGGATCCCCAATCCAGAAATGAATCTAGGATGCAAGATGGCAGCGTTAACTACTGGACCAGACCACTGTGCCACTTAATGCAATAGTTATTATTTATTTGTAGTGGGATTCCTTACCCTTTACAAGTTTGGAAATAATGGTGAGGAAGAAAACGACCAGCCTTAAAATCCTTAATATGTGTATACATACTGTTTGTTCCATTAACGACCGTTCTTTGTTAATTGTCGGATTTGCTAACCCCCTTACCGTCCAGCCGTGTATAATCAGGAAGGTTTTGGATGTGTGGTTGAAGCTGCAGGCGCTGAGGGAGTCTGGCTTGCTGGGGCCGACGTAACAGACATCGTCTTCGGGGTCGCTGGGTTTGCGGAGGGAGAACCTGGTGAGGGCAGAGTCGGAGGCGTCTGCTGCGTGCTCTTGAGGCTCCAAGGAGTTGTCTGCGCAGGAAACGTGAGTGCGGCGAAAATGGTAACGTGCCATTATACAGTTCAGGGTATTATTACTGTGGGAAAGACCCGTGCAGACGACATATAGTTTAACAAAGCGGAACGGCTCCAGAGAATACCATGGAGACCTCAGTGCTAACAGATTTCTATTTCTATTCTCGGTATACTTCTTTTTCACCAAATTGTAGGTTGTTGTGCTCATTACCTTGTGAAAATTAGGTATAGCCACCATTTTAAAGCCATATAACAGGTTATATGCATGGTAGCGTGGACAGTCCAACCTCTGATATTTAATGTGAAGATGTTAATCCAACCATCCTGGCAAGCAACAGGCACAGGACAGGGTGCCAGTCCATTACAGGGCAGGGCACGCAGACACAAATAGTTTTCCCAGATGCCAATTAACTTACCAGTATTTCCTTATACTGTAGGCTGGAGCTAGAACCGCCAGAGGAAATGCCATGCACATTTACAAACCACACAGGTCTGGACGTGAACCCAGGGCCCCGCACAGGAGGGCAGCAATGCTAACCACTTGTGCCACTGTGCAACCCTAAGCTATTAATCCATGCAATGCAACCTAACGGCGCTGGGGCTCTGAGTTCAGTTCCAGATTTGCGTGGCGTTTTAATGTTCCGCCTGTGTTCGTGTGGGTTTCCTCTGGGTGCTCCAGTTTCCTCCTACAGTCCAAAAACACTTATGTTGATTAACTTCTGGGAGAACTGGCCCTGGTGTGTGTGTGCCCTGCATTGGACTGGTGCCCTGTACCTGGCTGTGCCCTTGCGCCCATCAAGCTATTGGAAGAAGCCGTTAGATAGAAGATGGATGAATGGATATCCCGAACTAGAACAATAATGCGTTTCCAAGAACGCCAAATACACGAGAAGAAGAATTCATTCCTCATCTTGCTTGATCCCATTCACACGTTTGATCACACTGGAATTGTCCTAGAAGCCTTTCAGTTGAGACACAGTTGGATGCGCACGAGTTGTAGAAAAAAGCGCTGCACAAACATTACGGGGCTTCGCTTTGTAAGGACTGTGAGCCAGACCGTATTTGCATGTCAGGGCAGCTTGAAGGCAATAGCTTTGTTCTCGTCTGACAGTAGGAATCAGAGACGGTACTCAAGGCGTTTATATCGAGATCTGTTATTTGTCAGGCTCGACTAGTGTCGTGCCAAGTGGAGCACTTAGCTTTCCTGCAGTATTCCTGGCCAAGAGAGACATACAGTATAGCGTCACCCAGTTTCCGACGAATGTGCTGAACGGGATGTCAGTATACAAATAGACTGTCATGACCGTCTTCAAAAGAACACCTCTGTCTTGGCAGGGGTCAGTTTAACGAGAAATAGTACTGGGTCATCTGCTATAGGTCACTAGCGCTCCAGGGGCGTGTACAGTATATTTCCGTGATCCATTCAGTTTCCTTAAAGGGGGACTTGGCTCACCTTTGGCAACACATCTCAATCACATTCTTTCAACCGGGCCATCATGGTGGAGTTTATTATTATCTACCATGGAAGAGAATGATCTAGACTCCAGAGTCTTAGCCATAAAAAAACAACAGCTAAACCAACGTATTTACACGTTTAAATCCGGTGAATATTTATACCCGAACGCTCTAACGTTCATTCTAGACAAATCGCTACGAGTTATAAACTGCCACACAGCGGCGACAATGCGCAAGTGAGCGATTTAAAAGTTAATTATTTTAACATCGCGTCAATACAAGCAAGCTTTTAGTCAACACAAAGCACAACGTAAAATCGCGCAGAGCCGGTAACTTACCAAGAAGCCCGAGGACATCAGCTCTCATACTAGAGCTCGTGGGGAATACGGTAACACCCAGCAGAAACACAAGAAAGTAGCAGCATTTCTGCTTTTTCATCTCTTCCAAATGCACAAAGTCTGGACGGGGTTTCAGTGCTGGATGGTCTGTCTTGACGTTTGTTGCGGAGAAATAGTTAACAGAAGAAGAATTATTAATCCGGTAATTAATATTTGGCCCTCTTTCCTTTGATTGAGATAATGAGCCGGGCTGTTTTAACTGAGAGAGAGCTCATACAGTTCACTTCTTAAATAGGCACCTCTCGCCCGCACGGCAAGGTGACCCATCCCATTGGTCGGTGCGGACGGGTGGGACTGTGGGGCTGCTGCCGGCAGATGCTGTAAAAAGCTTTCAGCATGTAATGCGATTATTCTGGCATCTCGGCGAGTGGGACACCCGCCGGTTTACTGTGGAGAACTGCAGCCGAGGAGCTGCAGCGGTTTTCTTCGCTTCCAGGATATTTAGATACAATCTGAAAACAAAATCATGCAATGGCCAATTACAGTAAACAGCAATAGCCAGAGAACAGTTAATGCATTACCTTATTAACTGTACTATCACGTCTTTTCCCTCAAGAATTGCATTAAACCAGGATTAGTATAAGAACAACGAGCTTTAGTTATTGAAAGCAGTAAGGCATCAGCCCATATGTGCTCCTACTTTCTCATACTTGAGGTGCTGTGCTCCTTTTTGCTCAAATACTGTAGGTTATTAGTACTGCATTCCAAACGTCACACCTCCCACCTTGACTCCTGTTTCATTTTAGCTTCCAGAGCCGTTCAGGTCCGTTATCAGTGTGACTAAAAGCCATGTGAGAATGTTCTCCTCTGGAGACCCAGCTGAGCTGCTACAGAGCTCACAGCATCTCACTGGCCTGTCATACTGTATGCAGGAGGGGAAGAGAAGATCACACTTTCGAAAGTGAGAACCTCACAAACAGAGCATGCGCCCGCTCAGATTTCAACCCATTTCAAATGCTTAAACAGATTGAGATGTGTCTGAAAATGGTTTTGCTATATATTTTTTTTATCTCAGTCTGGAAAGAGCTCAAATACTGATTCCCAGTTTACACTTTCACTTGTTTTGCACAGGTTTAGAAATAATATATTTCCTGTGGGTTTCTTTTTAAAATGAGGGTGTCCAGCCCTTTAATATGAGTAGTGGGTGAAAGATGGTTCAGTAGGTCTCTGTGAACACAGTTCTAAAAACCGTCTGGCTGCCTGCTCTTCACATCTTTGCATTGTATAACTTGACAGTGTACTGCAGTGATTAACATGAATTGGAAAACAATTGTAAGTGGGGCAACTTTACCTTGAGTCTAAATTTGTTCCACACTGCGTCTGTTCCAGAGGTGCTGTGGAATGTATTTTAAGCTGTGGGAAGCTGTCATCAGCAGAGCATGACCGAAGCCCAGGAAGAACACCGTGTGTGCATGTTTCACATCTTGAGCTGGAATGGCTGCGCCGATGACATCCACATTGCTTGCTTCAGGTCTCGTGATCGATGTGAGCACAGCTTCACTGTGAGTGTGTGTGCAGCTCACATCCAGTTTTACAGCTGGATCTTTTGAACGTTTGAGATGGCCGACATGAGAAAGAATCTTTAAGTGCTTGCCTTTGCACTTTTGTGTTGTAACAGGTTTATGATCAGTGGTAAAACTTTACTATAAAATCACAATTCGTTTAACATAACCCCAATGTTATTGTCCATTCCTATGTACTAACAGTCGACTGTGCTATTAACATAGAACCGCATACAGACCTAAAATAATTCTCTGCACAATTGTTTGCGTGAGCTGCTTTTACTGTAGCCTTAACTTGCAACAATATTTTGTCAAAATCATTTATAATAGTGCTTCACAGCTGGGGAATATCAGTTTGTATTTCATTATATCATTAAAAAAATGTAGTTCAAACCAATTGTAGTTTTATTTTTCAAAGTTATTCGCCACCACCTGGTCTTGAAGATGACAGAGAAAGAGCATTGTGTTTTTCTGGGTTTACAGCATGGAGGGAAGGCTACCTTTATTCCTTTTCTTTTTTTGCCATCGTAAGATGTAAGAAAAATAAGAAAAATAAGAAGCAGCAGACAGGAGGCAACAAACAACTAAAGCATTAATTTTTTTTAAAGTGTAGTAATTGTAATCAGTTGTTTCTATTATCGCAGAAATATGGTGTGCGGAATTAAGAATTTGTCAGGTCACATGCTAGGTTAGGAATGTCTGGCTGATCCTGTCTAACCTTGGAGATCTCTGCAGCCATAGCACTGAAGTAAGGATCTGGTGAAGGCAGCTGAAGCTTGATATACTGGGAGGTATTAAAGACACAACAGAGGAGTATATCGCAAAAAGCATTTGTTGAGTTTATGATGCCTATCAATAAATATAAAAAAGCATGCAGGCCTGGCACTGCTTCTGGAATTTCTGACGCTATGGTACAACAGAGAGCACTGGAAAAGTGTCACATGGCAGGAGCCACAAATAAAAACACTGGAACCCAGTCAAAACTTTGGTCCGATTAAACGCTGACCCCCTCCCGTGAGCAAAGATCTCACTGCTGTCACCTGTCAGCGTCCTTTCGCTAGTTTTAAATGTGTTGCTGCAGCTTTCATTTAGAGGTAGGTTGTGTTCTCTGCTGTTCACTGCTGTTGCAGTACAGCGACAGACACTGGTCCCAACAACCACAGTTGCTCTCCCTGCGTTGTTGGCTTCATTGATCCAGGAGGGTCCAGTATAAAGATCCCAATGATACCACTGGCTCTGCCATGGGACAGAGTAGGATGTACGAAGAGGAGAAAAAATGAACCCATGGAATTGTACCACCCCCAAAATGAACCAAGTTAAGATTTCCTAAACCCAGTGACTGATACTCTTTCGTTCCGATCCACTGGAGGGAAATTGGTGATGGTAAAATGATTGAAAAAGGGGATTAGACAGCGACAGGAATTAGGGATGAGCTGGACGGACACGTGTGCGGGTGTTTTTGTTGTGCAGACCTGATTTCCGCACGGATAAAACAGATCAAGGTGGCACTTTGCTTTCCTGAAATGTGGTCCCTGGGATTTTCGCAGCCCAGCCTGAGTCAGAACCAAATAACCTGTGGGTTTACCTGCCCGGGATTGCGAAACGGAAACATTTCGGAAACAAACACATTTATCCCAGACTGGTTTTCGAGCACTGTCTTTCCACATGGGCACACAAGGAGAAGACTGGGAACAGGACGCAGATACCTTGCAATGCAAAAACAAAGAAGCCTAAAAACAATGTTTGTGTACATGTTGTGATTGGCATGCACACAGCAAGAACAAAGCAGCGGTGACTCCTCAAAGAATTCTGTGTAATTGTTGTGACTGAATTTCCAGTAATCCTCTACAGACATGTGGGGCCCATGTGGGGGAGCTGGAATAAGCTGTTGTGTTTTGTATTTGGCTCATGTTTTCCTGGGGTTTTGCGTGTCTCAAAAGGTGAAGACAGTGTGGGGGCTGCAGATCTCCCTGCAGTAATTATAGCTGTATTAAATAGCGTGGGAACCATTATTCATTCAGTTCTGTATTATTGTCAAGTTTCAGTGTAGCTGACTAAACCCTAACAGGCATACAGGTCATTCCTTATTAAAATTTGGGGAAAATTGCTGCAGTTTTTGGCCTACCCTCCTTCCCTGTGTTCTTTGTCACTAGTTGGGTTCTGAGATGTGAAGGGCAATAAAGAGTGTTGAAGTGTTACAGTATCACTGTGAATGACAGAGGGCATATAATTGTTACCAGTCTAGATTGACTGCACTCTGGTAGCAAATTGAACTGCCTTCACTTTCTCTGTTTCTTAGAGATGATGCATTGAAAAGCAGAGTCAATTATGCTCTGATGAGCACAGTTAGCTTCGGAAACTTTTAACATGTCAGCCAGTTCATGCATTTTTATTTTATGAAACTTTGTTGTGGTTCACAACAACCTGATTCACGAGACAATGCCTGAAGATCTGGTTGGGAACATGACAAGGCCCAGCTGAGCATAACAGGGGACTTCAAGAGAAAATATTCTTCAATTAAATGAAAAAAACAGAACCTATTAAAAACGCCTTGCAGTTGTAATGCATTCTCAGCAATGGATTAGGCTTGTTTAATAGTTTCTTTGAGCCTCTGCACGTTACTTTCTAGGAAAGTGTGGTGCAATTTGATACTCTGCATTTTTGTCGGCATGACTGCTGTTCACACTGATTATGGTCTTTCATTCAAAGCATAATCCCTTGCCCCTGACTGCCTAGAGAAAACATAACAGCATTAGAAAGTTTTACAAATAAGAGGAAACCGATTGTCCCATCTAGCTCGTTGTGTTGATCGTAGGTAATTCATCCAAAGATCCCATCCAGATGTTTCCTGGAAAAAGCCAGAGTTTTGGCTTCAAAAACTGGCAACCAGCGAATGGCAGTTGCAGACCTTTTTAATTCTGGAACACAAGACAAGTCCAGAAATAACTGTCTGTGCCACAAAGGCCTTGGCACTCTGTTGTTCTTCTCTTCACTTGCGTTTATTCCAAAGATCTTTATCTTTCTACCTGGGAAAGTCCACTTGGACTTGCTTGAACTTCTGTTAGTTGTGTTCATTGTAGCTCAGGCTTAACGACTAATGTAGAGCCTGAGAGATGACATTGCCCTTTCAGGTGGATTCTGGTTGGTAGAAAGACCACCTTTCAAAAATATAGACCAAGCTGCAGTACTGTTTTTGCATATAGATTGAGGTCTAGGTTCACTACATGAGACAAGTTTCTTTTTGATATTTCAAAAAAGGTATTTATCGAATGGTGTTTCAGTTAGTGCCCAGGATCAAAGCACTAATAAAATCCATATTTTATACTACAAGGACCTATTGTCGATTCTTTTTTTGTGAACCCTCAAAGCTGTAGTATTTTGAATTTTCTTTATATGAAGGTAGACACTGGATGGCTTGCTATTTGCATTTACATTGTGTACGAGGTTGCTTGCTTATTGGTGAATTGCTGTGATCATTCCATAAATGAATCAACTTCCTTCTTAATATCAGTGCTGAGGTATTATTGTTTCTCAGATCTTGGTAAAGATTTCCAAGCGCTCACAAGAAAGTCTTTACCTTGAACAAACGCTTATCGGCCTTTATTAAGCACAGCTGTGTGCTGTCCTTCTGCCACAGGAGATAGGGGTTGGGAGAGGAGGGTCGGAGTGTTCTTAAGGAGGTTTGGCAAGGGCAAGCTGCAGGCTGCAGGCAGACTAAGCCCCCAGTTTAAGGTCCCTTCATTTCCTAGGGGGACCGGATGACTTTTTGTAGACTTTTAGTAAATTAAGCGTTACACCTTTGCTGAGATCAGTTGTTTAATGCCTGTGTACAGAAAGACACATAACCCTTACCAGCTAATTCAGCCCTTCCCCCAGTGATCCGCATGAGTAGACTGCTTCTTACATTCCTTACTGTTAACAAGGTCAAGGCTATCCTTGGGTTAATATAATAATCCTTATATTATATAGGCATGCCAAAAATATACAGAAACAAAAGAATACATTTGACTTGCATGATAATTTAGCAAAAGAGATCGGCATAGCATACACATCAAAGTTTATTTAAAAGCTAAAAAAGAGAATGTTATTCCATTAAAGGGCAGTCTTTCCCATGTTTTTTACAGGAACACCTGTGCACTTGTCTTCTTTTGCATGCAGGCATTATACAATGCTTGTGAGAAATATTGACTCATTTAGCGAAATAACAGCAACAAATGTAGCGAACTGACCACATTAATCACAAAAAAGAATAGACAACTGGTTATCACAATTTTATTTTTTATTAAACAGTCCCAATAAATATTTTTTTTAGTACAGAAATGCAAAGAGTGAACAGAAACTTCAAAATGCAGATCACTTCTATCTGCTGCAACCCACAAGACAGAGAAATGGGAGACCTTTATATTGTTATATTTTTGAAGCTGACTGACAACAATTACACACACACACTAAAAGTATCTGTTGGCAAAAAATAGGCCTCTTTGAAAGTGACATAAGTACATGTCTGAAACTACCTTCAGATAGTAGTAAAAAAGATATTACATAGTAGTACAAAAGGAGACTTTTTTTCCCTCTTGTACAAAAAGATTGTTATTGTGAAGCTCTAAAATCCAGAACCCTGATGTGCAACACTATGCATTTAAGGGGCTCTGTTTTTGCATCGTTGACTCTAGTATGCACAAAAGTTTACAAGCTGACATTCAATATGTGATTTTGTGCATCATTAGAGTTTAATACAGTTCAATGGAGTTTTCAGTACAAGACACTGCATATGAGTTCTACAGTGTGAAAGCTGCTGGTCAGAAACGTTACCCCTAGATGGTTTCTCAACACTACAGCGATATCACTCTTAATATGTGTGACAGGCCTAACAAAGCAGTTTTTTAAAAAAATGACAAGTGCTGTTTTGAAAAAAAAAAAGAACACACAAAAAGAACACATAGCCTCAGAAAACCTAGCAAAAATATATTATATACAGCTTATTATACAAATATATACATTTAATAAATATACCATGAAATATTCTCAAAATGTATGATTTATGTGGCATAGGAAAGTCTCACCACACTTCAGTGTTGAGGGTTCTCAACCCTTCATAGTTTTATTTTAGTCCTTTCTTACGAAGAAGGACAAAAATAACAAAACTGAAATTTAATTACAGTTTTTATTTACGGATAATTAATGAGCCCCGTAGATTTTTCACTCTGTGTATTGTATCGACCTGCAAAGGAACAATCTGAATCCAAAAGGCACAACCTGGGACTGTATTACCTGGCTAGGCACAGAGAGGTTTCATTTGGGTTAATCCAGGGGTCTCGAACTCTCTCCCTGGAGGGCCCAACAGTAGTGTCAGTCAATTAAAATATTATTCTTATTACTTTTTACTTCTGCTCTTTTTACAGATTATTACACAGAAAATTACAAAAGCACAGATACATATAAAACAGATCGGGAATTTACTGCAAGTAGATGCATAACATTTATTAATTGATTATAATAACCAGGGACATTAAAGCCTTCTGGTCCTCTACCATCAGCTTCTACTGGTATAAAGCAGCCACAGAAACTCTGAGCGAGGTCCAAACAGAGAGTGGGGCATTATTTATTCTCCAGAGGCCGAGAGATGCAATGTAATCGAGATCTTGCTTAATCTGATTGAAGAAGTGACTGATTGACATGCTGGGACTTTGATGGCCTGTGACCATCCGCAGAACACACGCGCACAAGAGATGTTACTGTGCTGCTGACACGAGTCCTTGGCCCAGGTACAACATAAACACTTAGAACAAACAGGCAATTTTTAAAAGGAAAGTGCTTTGGTCCCTGTGGTTTAAAAAAACCCAAAACGGAGCATAGTCAATCTTCATTCCTTTGGATTCATCCTAACCCTCCGTAGTGTTCTGAAGGAAGAAGCTTTGTGTGCTGAAAGGTCTGTGCTTCCCAAGTTTAAAGCACGCAGTGTCTCTTGCACACATCCAAGGACAGAAAAATACACTTCTCTAAAGCATAAATAAATTTAATACACAGTGGCGCAGAGTGAACAGGTACATTCAAACAGGCCAAACAGCACAACACTTAATACACTTTAGGATAGAAGGAATCCAAATTCTTCCATACAGCCAGTAAATATGCCTGCTCTCTTAAAATGCTAGTGCTATATTGCATAAGTTGCCTAGTTACAATGTATATGTAAATAAAAGCCAATAAGGTGAGACATCTACATTGCCAGTGCTAAAACTGAGATCACCGTTTCTTTCTTCCTCTCCCTTAACTTTAATTCCAAAGCTGCGGTTAACTAACTAAGACCAAGCTCGGGATCTGTGTAATGACGCCTGTTCGGTCGCTTGATAGCAACAGTCTGTGCTGAGACGCAGAGGAGTGGCGAAGGGCAGATGGAAAATGGCTACAAAGATTGCCCGGCGCTGAAGAGCCCACGCTCTTGAGCCGAGCCAGAGACAACAAAATTCAAACTTGTCATCCAGACACTAGCTCCCCGCCGCCCCTTCGCTCCAGTCTCGCTCCCACGACGCTGTGCTGTTCTGTCCGGCCTGCGGCTCAGTCCATCTTCTTTCCCCAGGGGCTGGCGTACATTCTGCGTCTGTGCTCCCTGCCAAAGAAGGGGAGGACAGATCTCGTTTCAGAATGACAAGAGCAGAGCTCACGGTTGGCGATAAATCTCCATTACCCTCTCTCCCTAACTCCTCCGTTGGGCAATTACAGAAATCCATTCTTAAACTGTCAGTAGGATCCGTTTTGCGTTGGAGCAGTTCGGTCCTCTCATTCGTGCTGTGTGAGGACAACTAGAAAACAACTAGAAAACTAGGGGCCCAGTTGAAATATGATGCCTGTATGCTAGTACTGACATTCATACAGAAGCACAAAAGGATCACCTGTGTACACCCAGCTCTTTCAGCCTGGGGACCTCCACACCTGCTGGATTTTGTTGCCTAGGCTTTTACCTAGTCGAATTAATGAGTCGCTTGACTGGCGTTCTTGGAAGCGTTTTTTTTTTCCTCTACTCAAAAACAGGAGCTCTTAAGTCGTGGAGAAAAATGCAAAGGTTCAAAGGCAGCCTCCACCATGTAAAGGAACTGAAAACGAAGAGTTCAGATTAATCCTGGTATTAAGCCAGGCAGGGGTTCGATGGCGCAGCAGAAAGCTAAGCTGGAGTGAAAAGCCAGCAGGCGTCTGGGGGGCCCAAGGTTCAGGGTGTTCCTTTGTAAACAGCAAGAGGTATGGACTGACTCAAATCACTTGAGCCTTCCCTGCCGCAGTGCGTGTAGCTGCTCACCTGGCATGTCTCTTGCTCACGTGACTTTCTTTGGATCTGACGAAGGTGGCGAAGTCTCCTCCTCTTTTCAGCTCTGCGAAGTCTCCATTTTGGGCGTGGAACTCCACCCTGGATTCAAGACAGAGGGGTCAGTACACGGTCCCTTCCGAGTTGCTCAACAAACGAAAATAAAACGGACGCTTGACGTCCACTTCCGTCATCCAGATGCCTTCAAGCCAGGATCTGATCACGGCCAGCTCTGACTTCAGAGCCCCACTAAGTGCTGGATGGCGGTGAATTCTGCCAAGTCAAAAAACTGGTTCTAAGCTGTGGGAGAATCCAGTGCCATACAGCTTCCAAGGTGTTGACATCAACTTCTGTAACAGGTTCAGTTCTGATGAGCCCAATTAGGAGAACAGCTGGGGCTCATCGGATCTCTGCCTGTGATCCGATGAGCCCCAGCTGTTATCCTCCTGTCTACCCCCGATTCTCAGGCTTACTTGGCCTGGGTCTCCCCGGCCTTCACACGCAGCTTGCGGATCATGAAGCTGCTGCTTCCCCACCAGTCGGACCAGGAGAAGTACGAATCCTTTTCCCACTTCATCTTGACCATCAGGAGCTCCCCGATGTTCACGTCTGTGGTCAGCAGGAAGGAGATGGTCTTGTTGGTGGACATCGCAGGTCTGTGCATGCCAAGACAGAGACAGGATTTGTCAGGCTTTGCTTATGAGTTTGCTCATGGCTGGTCAACAGCCCGATCGTGTGGGTGCCATTTGGCAGCACTGGAAAATGGTTGTGTATTTAAGGGAAACTGCAGTCCCAATTTCTCAGCCTGGTTATTAAATCTCGGTATTAATTCCGAATTAAGCACAAAATTGTGAACTTTGTGCAAGTACTGTATAGTCACCATGCTGTTGCAAACCCCAGGTCTCGCCATGGGTGAGAGCAAGAGTTTGCGTGAATTGTGATGTGAAGCGGCCCTTCCTGCTCACTAATCACTGCGATGACGAATGTAACGCAATGTAAGCACAAATAAGTACAGGGTGTGCAGCAGACATTACACTGGAACATTTCTGCGGTGAAATCTGCATGCAGAGTCAACGAGCAAATTGGATTTGTCAGCAAAACCATCCTGAAGTCGAAAACAATATTTCTCCTTGGATTAAAAGAGATTTCTATCCAATCCAGAGTCCGAAACAGGGTTGGCTTCTTTCAAAACACAGATGAGAACGATCCCAGTTAGATACATGTGCTCGATGGGCCAATTTGCCTCCTCCCATTTTTAATCCTTCCTAGGTCTTTAAAATGGAACACATGGAGATGTATTGTACTGAATGTGGACCGGGGGTAAGACACATATCTACAGTGTATAACTATAATGCTAAAGATTTGTATTACCAAAAATGTAATAAAGCAAAACAGTAAGGCCAGTTTAACAAAGGTGTTTTGATCTTTCAGTAAAATCAGTTTTGCTACAAAAATTGAATTTAAAGAACAGCTACCAATTAGGACTGTGTGTGATTTAACTGCAGACTATGACCTTCAAACTTTGCCCAGAGTCTGTTTTCACTGTGTGACCATGATAATCCATCCCATCCTTTTTCATAATTCTCAGTGTAAAGATACATCATTGGATTGAAGCAGACTTTTAACAGTCGGGTCACTGTAAGCTTGTCCAGAGCAAGATGCAATGAGAATGTGGCTAATATTGCTAAAGCAAGGAAGGTGGACGGATAGCTTTTTTTTTCTTGGATCAACTTACAAGACAAGTGCGATGTTCTCCGTTTCATTCTGGGTCCCATGGAGAGACACCTGCACAGGCTGCACAGTGAAGCTGATGTTCTTCTGGCTGAAGAAGTGGAGCTTGATCTGATAGTGGAAAACTGCGAAAGAAATGCCTTTTCAGTAATCTCCCTGCCACAGAGCACAACATATTTTACCCCGTCATTTTTTAATTTGGAGCTCCCGAGGAGACCCCAGATCAACCATCCCAGTCATCCATTCATCCATTTTTTAACCACTTTATCCAATACAGGGTCTCGGAGTTGCTGGAGCTTATCCCAGCAAGCAACGGGCTCAAAGTGGGACAAAAAGCGGGAGAAAAAGGGACAAGACAGATTCCTGCATAACTTTGGAAAGCAAAGGTGAAGATATCCTGGCAGACAAGAGGTGGTGATTTAGATACTAAGCTTATCAAATTATCCCTGTTAGATTTATTCACATGCTGAAGGGTATAATTGACAAGCACTTCTTAGGTATTCATTATGACAATGGCTCTTTTATAATGGAGATAACACATACTTACAGGCTCGGTGTTTATTGCCTTTAAAATAAAATGCATGTTGGTAAACAGATATGGAGGAGACATGCTCACTCCAGCTGGGGGGTGGCAGCGAGAGTGGCTCACATTACTTCAGCTACTTCATAAAATGCCACTGAGTTTGTGCTTTCAGCCAGCCCCTCTGCCAGCAGGGTGTTGTGTGTCTCAAATGCAGTAGCCAGAATGCTCTTCGCTCCAGTTCCTAGTAACCTCATCGTCACCTGACTTTTTTTTTTAACATGGTGCTCTCACTGCAGGAATGCCACTCTGTACCAGTCTAGCACAGGGGTGTCAGAGCTGGACGTGCTGTCATGCCTGCTGCGTTCATATCTTATGCAAGTCGTGTCCTCTATTAACTGGAGTAAAGGTAAAGGGCACTGTTGTTTCTGTTCCACTGCCTGGTGAGCAGTGCTTGTGCTTGAAGCCTTAAGTACCAGGTCAGGTGTTACAGATGGTTCTGAAACTGCAGATTGCAGCGATAGTGTATTGTCCCTTCATGTGCCCGAGTTAGGCATTACAGTTGTAGTCACAAAAAGAAATGACACCATGTTGTTGCACCCAATCTCCCTTTTAGCTGTGGTCTTCCAGATCAGCTCAGAATTGGTTTCTTTTTTAAGCTGCGTTCCATTCAATATTGGATCTAATTTTGTTTTATCCACAAGATGTTACAGGTGAATGAGACTACAAAAAGCATTGCTTTCAGTCCTCTTAACATGTTAACATGGGTGTGATTTCCCCACTGATTCCACAGATACCTATGCTCCTGCTTTGCATTGCAGCACACAGAGGATTTAGCTCTGACTCCTGCCTCAGACCACCCCACCCCCCCCCTCACCTTTGTAAGGCATGATCTCCCTGGTCTTGAGGTACATCCTGCTGCTTCTGCGGCTGCGCACCTTCTTGACTTCGTAGCCCACCTTGTTGCAGCGGTTCTTGCGGCAGCTCAGGCACAGCCCCCTGTCGAAGGTCTCCTTGGCCCCGCAGCGGAAGGCCAGGCTCTGCTTGTGCTCGTTCAGCAGCGAGTCGATGAACAGGTGGACGGAGCGCTCGTGGGAGCACTTCACCAGCTGGTCCATCTCTGCGCGGGCGGGCCGGAGGGACGGAGAGGGAGGAGGGGAGGGAAAGATGAAGAAAATTCTGCACAGGAGCAAAGCGCTTGGAAAATCAACCTCTTAATTGACTGTGTGGCTTGATGCACCACTTCTTCTGCTTTGCCTTACAATGAAATTAAACTCAAACATGACAGTAAAGACTTGGATTATTGCCCTGCTGCTGAAGGAGATTTGATCCAATTTCTTTTTGCATTCTAATGATTTTTTGGGATCTAGGGGCCGATGGCCATCAATCAGGGACTCTGTACCTTTAAAGCCAGCAGCAGCAATCATGTACATCGCTTTGTGCAAGTCGCACCCTGGCTGAAAGCTTCCGCCGTTGGGATAAATGTCCACATGGCCGACGGGCCTCTTGATTCCTATGCTCAGGTCTGGGGAGCCCCGAGTGTTGGTGTGCAGGACGTCCACAAACTCGGCATCGTCCGGAGACAGACTGCTTTGCTCGTCGGCGTATTCAAAGTTAGGGCCAGCGGGGTCCAGACCTGTAAGGGCAAGGCAGTCCGATAACATGACACTTGGGCAAAGACACAACGCCTTTGCTTGCAATTGCATACCCTATCCGAACATCACAGGCCAGGAAAGAGACATCGAGCTCGTGTGGTTCGGGCTCTACAAGGACCAAAACCCTCAAGGAGGAAAACCCCTTGAGCACCCCACCAGAAAGAGATCGTTCAGAGTTGCCAATCATACCTAAACTACATGCCTCTGGGAGCTTTAGGGACTCTGGTGCTGTAAGACAATAGTGCTGACTACCTGGCTGATGTGCAGGGCATCGTCAATGAATTAACCTCTTTGCTACTGACTGCCCAGAGAGGGCTTTAGGCTGTGAAAGTTTGGTGATGATCACAGTAGCTGTTCCTGTTCACAGTGTTGCTGTTCCTGTTCTTTGAGAACCAGACTAGTCTGAAAGTACAGCTTCTATTGAACCTAAAAGCTGAAATAATCCTAAATCTCCATCTCAGGAATTTCTGGCAGACTTCACCAGTGATGTCATAAGGAGATTGGAGCAACAGCAGTATTGAAAACGACGTGTTTCTTGCATAAAGGCTGCTCCGTGCTTTCATCTTTGCTGTCACAAGTTACATTTACGTGTCATGTGAAGGGCAGCGACAGTGATTTTTTATGGTCTAATGATTTCTTGGCAAGCTTTCCCTGTAAACAGATTTAAATCTAAATAGGACCACAACACTTCCTGGGCAGTTAGTGGTTATGTAAACAAAACTTTCCTCTGAGATTTTTTTAGAGCTGAGGGACTCCGTAAGTACTCTGTGATGTGAAATGAACTGTAGTGGAAACTGCCTCATGATGCTCCGCGTTACACAACCACCGAGGAAAACCAGACAGGCACTGCAGTTTCAGCGGGTCCTTTTCTCACTCACCTGTGATGCGGTTGACTTTTTTCTTGGTCAGATACCCTGCAATGCCAGCCACGTGGGCACCCAGGCTGTACCCCAGCAGGTGAGAGCGCTCCAGAGGGTAATCAAGCTCAGCCTAAAGAGAAGAGGGTAAGGCAAATGTTGATACAGGCAAACCAGAACCTTTATGGTTCTGGTCAGTCGGACATGTATATACACTGCCAAACAGTTTTGTGCAGAAGTTGCACTTTTTTAAAAAAGAAAACTGACAACAACCTTTTATTATTTGCCAGGTTCTGATTTGGTTGAAAAAATGAACGAACTGTGCAATTGTCTGGCCATTTGCAAAGGGACTTCATTGCAGTACTTTGACCATGCCTGAAATTTTGTTGGGCCTACCAATGCTTGCATACCTGCTAAATCTACATTTGTAGAAACATACTGTACGTGAGGGAAATATCATTTTGCTATTGCACTCAAAATGTAGTCTCACCTTTTAACAAAAACCCCAGCCCAGTTCTGATTTTTTTTATATCTGCCAAGGCATGCTTAAAAGTGTAAAATATGCATTATTAAAAGTTTAGCTAATACTGGAATTACAAAAGTAACAGTGTCCTTTACTTTTACTCTAAATTACAAAGGACAGCACTTACCAAATTATGACTACAGACACTACTAACCGTATTGGTATGGGACCTGCAGCTATGCAGAAAGTGCACCAAGTAAATAATAATAATAATAATAATAATAATAATAATAATAATAATAATAATAATCCTAGAACAGTATAGATCAGTGGGCTGTTTGACACCTTTGTAAAAGCATACAAGTTACCCAGAACTGATTTCTTCTTTGGAATTAAAGAGCTCTGAGAAGTATGATCATGTTGCTGTACTGTATGTATGCATGGGATTGAGAAAGGTGGTAGAGTCAAAGAAGAGAAAGAAATACTTGATTCCCCTCTGCTATGCAGCAGCAGGATGAACTTTCTTCATTTCTGACTCAACGAGGCGGGTGTAATCACTGTACCCCGGTGACCAGGCTCATAGGGCTGGCTCTGGGGTCCTTGTACCCACCTCGATCCAGTTGAGAAAATGGGCCAGGTCCTGCCCAACCAGCCTGGTGTAGGCTGCAGAGGTGGGGTAATGCTGATGGGCTCTGTGCAGCCAGTCCACCACGATGACATTGCTGGCGGGCTCTCTCTTGTACAGGGCGTATACCAGCTTGGAGACCCAGCTCTCAAACATCCCTGTCACCTGGGGACAGCAAGGTGGGGTCAGTGGAGGTGTGCCTGTGTTGCTCTGTTTCCTGCGACATGCTAACATCACACTGCATGAACAAGGAGAGCTGAAGATTCCGTGGCTCAGATGGGATTCCTTATTGCAACATGCTTCCTAGTGAAACAATATTGCCTGTTTATCCCAATTTTTTGGGAAACTCTTTTCCCATGTTAGGTCTGAATCTGTTTTTAATACTCTTAGGGATTTCAACTTCAAACAGTGGCATAAATCTACAAAATATTCTCTCTTCTCTTACACACATTTTAAACCGTTTAACCTTAACGTTTTTCACCTAAATATATCAATAAATACTTTAGCATTCAGGGTCCCAGTGACTTTTAATGTGACTTTCTGTTGCATCAGCTTGTTAAGGTAAGCAGGTGGATGAGTCATAACGTCTGCTGATTAGGTGTGTATTCCTGGAATTAAAGGTTTCAGAAATAAAGGTTCAAACAGCTCTGGTGTGGGTTCACATTCTGATGTATAGAGTGCCAAATCAGAGAAATATAAAGGCTGAGAACTGTTAATTTCGTTTATCTTACAAGTTATGTGAAATTGGGTTATTCTGTTGTCTCTTCCTGCGTTTTCTCTGGTTGCTCGTGTTGAAATTTCCCTTTTTTTAAGAATGACTTGTTTTTCCTTCTGAATTCCTTTTGGAAACATTCATGGATTATAATTTACTTTTTTTTTGCGCTACCCATATTTAAAAATGGTAGCATTTCGGTTTCTGACCGGTATTAATGCAACAGAATGCACATCTCCGATCCTACTTTTTCCGGCGCAATGCAAGGCATTCAGCGACATACCGTCCAGCCATGAATGACTAGGAAAGTCTGTTCGTTGGGGTTGAAGTTACACTGCGAGATCGTTTCGGGCTGACCAGGCACAAGGTAGCAGAGATCGTCCTCTGGCTCGTCCGCAGTTCGGAGGGAGAATTTGGTTTGAATGTTACTGTAGTCTACAACCCAGTCAGTGGTATTGCCTGCAGAGAGAGAGAGATACAACACCAGGACCGTAAATGGGGAATGCCAGGGCGCAGAACAACGGGAAAAATCGATTTCTTAATACTTATTAAAAATGTAATTATTTTTGCACTATAGGCTTACACAAGCTCAAACTACAGCATAATCACGTACATTTTCGAATTTACGAATGTCCGTAGCTTTTCAGTTTTTCGGTGGAAAGGGAACTCCGACTAAAGACCAACACAATGCAACAAGCTGCACAACCTCATCGAATGTGTATTTTAAAGTGCGTGCGCTGTTCAAAGAAGGGATAGTTGATCGCTTCGTAAGGTTGTGTACCGAGGTGTAACCATCCTGTTAATATGTAGCTGTAATTTAAACAGGTATAGATGCAGTATGAGCATCGATTCGACTGTCCTCGGCACATCGCCTCTTATTAACTTTTTAATAATTTAAACATTCTTTGTTTCTGCCCTTAATTATTGTCAGAGTTACCAAGGCTCGCTTGATACTCTCCTTGATACTCTCCGGCAGAGAGTATCTCAACCATCGCAGGATATTTCTTGCAACAATACAGCGTGACACTGCCGTCTATTGGCAGAAAAGCAGTATCTTAAAATAACTAGAATACATCCAGTCCCAAATTGTACTTTGCTCAACAACTGTCAGTTCACCACCCCCCTCCCCCTTCCAAAGTGTGTGTAATAATTAATTTTCCCCTTAGGTTAGTTGCAATCTAAATTCCGGTGACTGAAATAATATAGCAACTCAGTTCATTGGAAGAGATCATGATTCAAGCAGATTATGGTGCCGTTATAAACGGATTTAAGTGTAATTTAAATGTTGTCTTTCGCCAACGGTTGCAGTAAGGAACTACTGTGCTTAGATTATGCGGATGAGACTTTGTCCGTGTTTACAATTTGTTATTAAACATACATTAATCACATATGTAGAGTTGTAATTGTAGATTACGATGACAGACGTTGAATAGATTTAAAAACAGTAGTTGTTTGTGGTTTGTTTGTTTTTTTTGTGTGTGGAAAATCTGCTGGTGGCTAAATTAACCAAATGGGAGAAAATCCCTGAAAATAGATTATTGCGCTTAAGCAACGCACGTCTAGTTTGGTGGTGCGCGTTTTGTAGTGCGCCTAGCCTATGAGCCGGTGTGGCTTCGCCCACGCCACTACGATTTTCCGAAACAGACGGAGAGAACCGAGCGCCATACGGCCCCCTGTCTCAAACCTACCAGCGCGCCAGCGCTGACTCGCCGCTCCGTCTACCCGCCTGGGGTTACTCTCGGTCAATCCCGCTGGCTTTCTGCAGCCCTAACCGCTAACCGCTCTAGCATTCTTTAACTTCCAAGACAATAGAAAACACGTTGGGTTTTTAGAAATCTGCCTCGTCTAAAAGTTAAGACCCGTTATATTTCATTGCAGCGCGCAGTTCTCACTTACTTAAAGAGGTGGCTTCAGTGGAGATTGCAAGGCTAGCCCACGTTTTCGCGACGTATATCCACAGAAATAGCAGCAGGCTTTCCTTTCCCATGATATTATAGGGCTCAGAGGTGCAGAGCGGTCCGAATGCGGCGCAGAGGGTCTGGGCTTGTAGTTGTAATCCGAACGGACGGGACAATGAGTTAAAGTGCAGTTACTGAAAGTGCAATTGTTGCTCCTGGGGGGTGAGTTGAGGTTTCTACCTCCTCACAAAATGTGCAATGCTCGCCTGTCCAAGCCTGGCTTTATGTTAAACCCGGGACTCCATGCAAATAACTCCAGTTCTATTGGTTCACACGCCGTGGGCGTGAACTGCCGCAAATTCGCATTTTTTTTATCTTGATATTATAGAGAAATTAAGACCGATGTGGAACAGAATTTTTTTGAAAAAAGAATGTATTCATTTAGATTTAACTTTCTAACTTTTTATCCGCTCTGGAGCTCACTTTCTGCCAATTTGAGAAATGTAAACTCTTTTACAGTTTTTTAAAAATGTAAAGACTTACCTGTTCAGTCATGCTTTATATATTTTATTTCTGCTCGATATAATGTTGATTTTTTTTATTTGGTAAAGTGTCTCAAACCTTCTTGTTGTATATATCTTGTGGAAAAATAACAAGACAAATAGAATCATCATCATCCAGTAACTACACCAAAACGCAAAAGCTTGATCAGTTTTAAAACTGATCTCCACATAACATGAAAATAAAATAATCTCTGATAACCGGAGAGCTTGCCATAATATTGAAGCACTTTTTACATTTTAAAGGACTCAAACAATGCAAAAAAAAAATCTGACAAATTTACAAAAGATTATTATGGTTTTTTTTTCTTGAATAGTTTCCTAGTTTAAATGTCAAATTATTTTTGCCACGAATAAGTAGTTAATCTACTGTAGAACAGGACACCTGTTCAGTTAGACTGCGTGTGAAACAGCTCTGTAAGCTGTCGGTGACAGCACAAGAAACCGCCTGAAATGAACATGTCCATTTTAAACCCAGGGCGTACTTGTGGGCTAGCCTAGCTCGGTTGTTTATCCGAGCTGCGCAACCTGGATAAAATGTAAATATCTCTCATTGTGGAGAAGAATCTCGAGTTGGTATTGAAGGCTACTGTCAGTCCTCGGTTTCATTCGGCTTCGCTCTTGAAAACACCAGACCGAACGATACTTGGTCTAGATTTTAATGGAACAAAAGTGCGTTTTGTTTTGGGTCAAAGTGATTGCATGCGTTATTGAATTACAATCCAACCTGCTTTTAAAACACATCTGCACAAAAGTATATTTCTGACACACACACTGTCTATGCATGTCATTCCTAAGCGTTTATTTATCCGCTATTTTATTGAAGGATTTCTGAAATCTACAGGTGTGCGTGTGTGTGTGTGACATGAGTATGGATTTACAGAGAGGATTTAGGCTGGACCCTCAGGGCATTACATCGCCTTGATAGTTGTCTTTCACCTGCGGAAGAACACTGATCGCTCCCGTGCGCCCCTGTGGCTCAGTTCGCTTCCCGGGGTGCGAGGCCGAGTTCTGCCGTCTGTCCTAGGCTGCTGTTTGCCAACGGGTACCGGGATCGCTACGGGGGCGGCTGGTACGTTTCCTCAAGGCTACAACAACGCTTATTTACAGTGAGACTGCCAGTTTATTACCTCGGTTATCTCGTCCCGTTACAGCTGCAGTTCCTGTAGGCGGAACAAATATCACACTGTAGAAAGACAACACAACATCCCTGCAGGCGGCCGCGCACGTTATTGGCCGATAAGTATTTAAATGCTTTAGATGCCTGACTGGAGGGGGGGTCGTGGGTTCAAACCCCAGGTGGGATACCCGTGAATGAGGCGTCCAGCCGCCCGATTGCTCCGGCAAACCCAGCCATATACCTGGGTGGCGAAATCCAAACCACACCACTGACATGTCTGCGGGTAGAGGGGGGCAGTGAAGTTTAATCCCACAAGAAGAAACAGCGTCCAGCCTCCTGCAGTTCTCGCTTGAAGAAGACTGAACGGCCCGAAACGTTGTGTTTCTCCTTTAGCGTGGAATGAGCTTTAATTTGACACGTCTGTCGGTGTCCACTGGAATATAAGTGTCGGGTCTCCTAAATCAAAAACGAGTAGCGCAAAACGCAACGTGGTAGACTGATGCATCGCGCTGCTTTATCGTGCTTTTTTCACCCTAACCGATGTCCGTCATCGAAATAACGGTTGATGAAAAACGCTCAGACAATGGACTCGGCATTTCAATATATTCTGTAGCCTTTTTTTCCTCAGTCTCTCCACACTTTTTTTTTTGGCGGGGGTGAGGGGGGTTGAAACAGAGATTTGCCTCCCGAAAGAGGGCAGTCGAAGGGTGTGTCGGTGGAGCCAGCTATGCTATTGGCTGGGCCGCGGTGTGCCGAGCGGAGCCTTGAACAGAACAGCTGGATTGAATAACACTCCGCTAATCCTGTCCATCTGGCACGGGAGCGGCGCTTGGCACAGCCTGGACAGCGGCGGGGGCGCGCCCGCCGGCTGACATTGCGCGCCGCCGAGAGTCTCGCCGCTCCGGAGCAACTGTTCTCAACTGCTTTTATTTTTTATATTTTATTTATTATACTCCCAGCTCCCAGGGCTGGACGCAGCTCTGTCGCTGTGTTATTTTTAAAACCTCGCCTAATTTCATGTAATCACTATTGGAGGGCTTTGGGGTGGGGTGGCTTTTTCGTGTGAAACGAAGCCGAAATAGGCTGCAGTTCGAGACGGCGAATTTATTATTGCGTTTTACAACACACATTTGCGAGAACTGGGGAAGCTGTTTCACATTATGGAAAGCCAACGGAAAGAGTAGGAGAGCACCTGCGCAAACAATGGTATCAAGTTTGGACTCTCGCACAGTTGCGTAGGACACCAAAAGAAAATTAAATCAAATCAGATGTGTGTTTACTGTAGTTTCTACCCACCAATTGTCAATAACCGCTTAGTCCGATCCACCAGTTGTTACCAACCCCAACACCAGAGGGCGCTTGTCTGTCGGTTTTCATTTCACCTGAGCCGGTCATCGCTGGTGCTAATTGATTAGTGCCTCTAATTAATCTAATTGATTGTTTGAAGTCCTACTTACCTCTTTCTGTATTGGTCTTGATTTAAAATGACGTTCCTACAAATTCAGCGTACAGAAATGTATGCAATCTCTCCTCAACCTGTGAGTTTGCTTCCTTATTTCTGTCTATAGGGGATTAATTAGTGGATGATGAACGTGCACAGATTGGAATGACAAGGTATCAGACGCTCCCAAAATGAGAGGTCTTTCTACAGAGGTCCAGTTGCTTGCATTTCAACCAACACAAATGAACGAGTGCGGTCTTGAAAACATAGATTTCGATTTAGCGTTGATACCAGTTAAAAATTCCGTTAAAATGTCAAAGATCTGAAAGGAAATTTAAAACATTGCTTCAAAAATTGAATTTAATTAGCCCGCGATTAGGAAGTGGATAAAAAGCAGGAGACACAGGAATACTCCGGAACCAGCAGAGCCGATGTAATCCGGATTTTATCCCGGCAGATAATGGTCATCAGACGGGAGGAAATCAGGTTTTTTGGATAAATTGTTTCCTTATTATGGTAGTACGATTCATATGCTTATTAATTTAGAGCAGCTTGATAAGTCTTATTTCTTCAGGAATTTTTCAGCATTGGAGAGGAGTTAAATTGTGGTCTTCAGTGAGTGTCTTATTTTTAGTGTATGCTTAAATATGTGACGAGGTCTGGTGTAAAAAAAATAGTGTAATGGTTTTTAAATAAACATTACACAGGACGTTCTAAAATTTGCGTAAAATCCGACTATATACGGGGACATGTTTAAATAATCAATATACAACATATCACGATATTGATGGACAAACGGAATCCAATGTCCAGACGAGACTAGCGAAGTCTAATCGGTAAAACACGCTACCAGGATGGATCTGGGCCTTTTTGAAGGGGGAAAAAATGATTTACGAATGTTTGTCCAAGGGGAACTTTTTTTGTTGTTGTTGCTGCTTTGTGATTATATCGTAATGGGTGATGAAGGCTAAAACAATTGTAATTAAATTGACAGCGAGGCTACGGTACAGATTAGTGTAAAAGATCCCACGTTCCGACGACAGACCTGTTTCAAAGTTTCCTCGCTCGCCTGGGGGGCTCAGAAATATATATTTTTTCAAGGTTACTATTGATAACCATTTTTATTATTTTGTGTTTAAAAAACTAATGCGTTGGATCTCTTGCTTGTCATCGGCCTTCCACTGTCCGTGGTCATTGCATTGCTAATCCAGGGTCAGTCTGGGGTTTTTCAGTAAAAGTATTTCGGTGCAGTTTTAGGGGACCTACTGAATAGTTAGCAAGCCAGTTCTTCGTCAACCACCTTGCCGTGAGCAAGTCTTTTCAGTATTTTAATACATTAAAATATATGTACATATGAATGTTATGAGAGAGGACGTATTCATCGGGTTATTGTCGAATTACGTCAACCAAATAGCAGCGCGACTGTGCTGTGAAACTCGGTTAAAAGGTCTATCCGTGAAAAGCGTGTAGTTAATTTTGTGCTGAATACATTTTTGTGCTTAAACGGCTGGCAGTTGTACCACTGAGGTGCAGGACAACCTTTGTGCAGCCTTGCTGTCCGAGTGGCCTCCCTTTCTGTGGCGATCTTGTGAAACAACGCACAGACGCATTGTACAACCGTTCGTGATGTCTGTATCTCAGCCCTCGCTCGGTATTGTGAAAATGTCCATTTTCGGCTGAAATTGTGCAATCCTGCCGAATCTTGTTCCAGCTAGAAGCGAGAAATAAAATTCGACCACCTTGCCCCCTTTATCAGGCGTGTTCAGCTTTTCACCCTGTGTTTTCGGAACATAGCGCTTCAGATTACATGAACCTGATGCATTTATTAAACTCGATGCACTGGAGCAACCGGAGAGGGAAGCATTTTGCTCAAGGGTATAGCGGGGCCTCACTGGATAGCTGAACCCACGACCCTCCCGAGTTACAACGACTCCTCCTCCCGTCTCCAAACCGTCTCCCGTCCGACCTAGTTTTAAAACGCAAGTCGCCTTTTAGTCTTCAAGAAACGGCTAATCAGTTTATGGGGTTTGCAATCTGAGAAAATTAAAAATTTTGGCTGTAGCACTGTGTATGTCTTGTCACTATTCGGTATTTCCTGAAACATTCCCATCCAACCAATCGCACAAGCGACAGAAGGCC